TCTCTTCCAGCTGAGGAAACCCTGGTGGAAAAATTCTGCTTTTCTCTGCAGACTCTGCGAATCTCTGAGGTTCCCACGATTCCCATCCTCTCATTAATTTGGAAAGTAGCAAGGAAAAGACACGAGCTCAGAAAAGGGAATAACACCCACGATGGGATGGAGCTGGGCTTTGATGTGGCTGTCTCTGCAGATGATTTTTATTTATATTTATATTTTTACTTTTTAAATTCTTATTTTTATTTTTATTTTTATTTATAACTATATTTAATTATATTTTTATTTTTAATTTTTACTTAAATTTTAATTTTAACTTTAGTTGTAATTTTAATGTTAATTTTAATTTTAATGTTAATTTTAATATTAATTTAAATTTTCTTTATTTTTTGTTTCTATTTTCATTTACATTTTAAATTTGATTTATATTTTAATGTGTATGTTAATCCCAATTTTAATTTTAATTTTAATTCTAATTTTTTTTACTTTAATTTTAACCTTAATCTTAATTTCAATTTAAGTTTTAATTTTAATTTTTAATTTTAATTTTAATTTTAATTTCTGTTTTTATTTTTACAATTTTTATTTCTATTTTAATTTTCACTTTGAACTGCTGTTTATTTTTAACTGCTCCACTTTGAGGGGAGCGAGCCACCAGGATAAACACGCTCGGGGAGCCTGGCAGCACTGGCGTCACAGGGAAAGCTGGGAAAGCTGAAATTCCATTTTTTCCCCTCGTTTTTCCTCCATCTGTCACAAGAGTTGCAGAGCTCTGGGTGATATTTTACCTTGTCAGCTCAGAGATGCTGAGGCAAGTCCACACACGAGCTCTGCTCCAGTCCCACAGCCCAAGGAATCTTCAAATATTCCCCAGAAATTCCAAGTTCAGTTTGCTCATTACAGGGAGGATGGTTCAATCCACCCTTTGAGTGGTTTTGTGCTGACAGAGATGCTGGTGAGAGATTTTCAGCGCTCCAGCAGCTCTTTCACAACGTTYAGAATTTTTATGAGTTTTTTAGAGGGAGTTTTAAAAGAAAATTAAAACTTTTTCATCTTTTAAGTGCTGAAATTTAAGACAGGCTTTTATCGGGCAGCAAATTAGAGTGTGTTGAGCTGATGAGTTATTTGGTAATAAATACAGCAAAAATACACCCTGGAAAAGAGGAGGGGAAATGAWTCTCATGGTCCCTATTAGGGCTCTAATAAGATTTTACAATCCTGGTTCCTGCAAAAAAAACCCCCACAATAACACAAAAGAATGATTTTCACTGAAATATTTGCTGACATTTTGG